GCTTCCTGATGTCCTGCCTGTGCTTGGAGATGAGCTTCTGGATCTCCGGCTCCAGCCCTGGGGCAGCAGGAAGGACAGTTACTGCTCGGCCTCGGGGCTGTCCGGATCCCAACCCCGGTGCCCTTGGCCCTGGCCAGCTGGCAAGGAGGCTGCGAACACATCAACTAGCAAAGAGGGGCCGGTAAGAAAGTGGGGGTGAGCATGCACGGGCTTTTTTGCCCTCTAGCATCTGCCTCTACCAAACACAGCGAGCAGAGACTGCCCACGCTGAGCAGCTCTTCCCCAAGCTGCCAGCAGCTTCTGCAGACACGGCCCCTCTCCTGGACCAGCACGGACGTGGCCCCTGTACCAGCCCGACTCCAGCCACTGCCGAGGGAACGTGCCCATACCTTTCACAGTGATTTCTTTGATCTTTTTGGTTTTCTCATCAATCCACTTCTCCCGCCTGATTTTCTCAGTTGCGCTCATCAGTTCCTTCAGTTTCTTAATCTCCTGTTTGGAAGCAAACGGGAAAGCTTCAGAGACAAGTCAGGGGAGAAAACCCCTGTTAGCCTGGGAGCCCGGCTGTTGAGGAGGAAGTTGCAGGCAAGAGCAGACGGCCTGAGCTGCGCACAGACGACTCGCACAGCCCCGGCTACACAAGTTCTCCCAGTCCAAAGAAGCAGCCGTACGCTCTCCCAGTGCCTTCTCTCTCTCACGGGATGGGGCTGCTCCTCCCCACAGACCTTGAGCACGGGGGAGAAGAGCAAAACCCTTGGGAAAGCACTCGCTGGCTGAGACACGAGAGCCCCTGCGGAGGGGAGAGGGGAACTGGGGCTGCTGCGGGGCAGTCCGTCTGTCAGCAGATGCAGGGTCGTGTCTGAAAATGTTTCCTTCTCCAGCCTTCCCTCTCCCTGGCATGGAAAACCCTCCAGCAGGAGGACAGAAAGACAGACACACCTCCCAACACCATGGTACCACCGCAGACCAAGCTCCTGCAGCACCCCAAAACTCTTCAAAGACTCGAAGGCTGCAAAGCCCAGGCACAGCCGCTGCTCTTGCTTCCTCTGCCTGCGTTTACCTCCTCGGCCCTCCGCTCCAGCAAAAAGGCTGGAGAAACACCCAGGCCCTGCTGCCCAGGGAGCTCTGCCCCAGCACTCCCGTCAGCAAAAGCCAGTCGAAGCACTCGACCACGTACTTCTGTGCTGGGGTTTCTGGTGAGAAAGGCACTGGCTGACAGAAAGTCCAGCCCAGCCAGAAATGTCTCCGTTTCAGCATGGGCAGATGATGACTGGGTGCAGGACGTGGGACATGTCACAGCTCCGGAGGACAAGCATGCGGCAGGACACCCAATGGCCGCTGTGCGGAGAGGAGCAGGGAATAGCAGGGGGCCACCCGCACAGCTCTTAGGGAAAAAAGGGCAGGGAAATCGGCACGGGAAGACAGGGACAGCCTGAAGGCAGCAGCTGAGCACGTGGCCTGGGGAGATGGGGCGAAGGGGCTCCTTCACGGGGCTGACCCTGCTGCTGAGTGGGGAGTTACCATCCCAGCCCTGCTGCCCGCAGGCGCCTGCGGAGCCGGAGCAGGTCAGGGCGAGAGAACAGAGGGGCAAGGCACAAAAAAAAGCAAAGACCACATTTACCTCGCAAAAGGGGCCCAAAGTGCGCCAGACCTGGGGAGAAAGAAAGGAGGGGATGGAGAGAGAAGGGGAATCGCAGAGTCACGGGGGAGAGGGGAGACGGGAGGGGAGAGAGACAAGACCAAACAGCCGTGTGTACGCGAGAGCACCGGGCAGGGCGGACGGCGGGGCAGGGGTCCCACGGGAGCGAGGGGAGGCGCAGCCAAACGGACAGATGCGCCGAGGGCCTGGCAGCACCACCGGCGATTGCAGCTCTGGGACGGGGGCAGAGCCAGCCCTGCCGGGGAGCGTGCCACGTGGTCGGAGCCCGGCTCACCGGGAGCAGGGACAATAAAGTGGCCAGAGAGCAGAGACGGGCTCCCGGGCTGCTCCCACCGCTGCTGCCCTGCCGTGAGCAGGGAGCGAGAGGTAATGGAAGCATCTCCTCTGCCCTGTGCAGGCTGCAGCAGCAGAACCAGCTCCACGGGAAGGGGCCCCTCCAGGCACCAAGCACAGCAATACTGCACTGGCTTCTTCCTCTCAGCTGGGCTCAAAACTCAGGCTTAAACAGTAAGGCAAAGCCAAGCGAGCCTTCGCTTTGTTTGCGTGACGATATCTGTCTGAACAGGCTCAGACTGGTGCAAATGCCTGCTGCGCTCCAGAGCCCTGGGCATGAGCTTGGCTGCAAGGCCGAGGGTGAGCAGGGAACGGGGCAGCAGAGCCAGGACGAGCCCCGCGGCTGAGCTGCGAGCCAGCGGTGCTGCCTTCCTGCCAGGTCCGGCACAGGGCGAGCTGAGCTGTCTCCATCTGTGGGAGAGGGAGCTCTCTGCAAGCTCCCGAGGCGAGCTGCCAGCCAGCTCCCACGAGCAGGCAGCACATCCTCTCTGGGGAAACAGCCCTCTGTGTGTTTGGGTGCTGGTCAGGGCAAAACGAAACCCACAGAGGTCTGTTATTATTCCTTATACACCCCATGTTCCTTTATAATCTTATCACCGTTTAGCTCTGAGAGCATCTCTGCTCCTGCAAAGGGGGCTGGAAATCACCCAGCTCAAGAGGATATGGCCACAAGTACAAATTCCTCTGTGGCATCACGTTCGTGCCAGCGCCTGCTTCCACCTCTGCCGAAGCGAGATCCCCCGGTCACCCCCCAGCCAGGGGAGAGCTCTGTCCACAGCAGGATGTGTGGGAAGGGTCTTTCCAAGCAGAGCCCCTGGGAGCTAGCACTGTCTCTTGGTCTGCCCCATGCACCTGGCTTTGGGCAGCAGAGGACAGCAGCCTCTTGGGGAGCCAGGGCAAAGCTCCAGGGGTGACACGGACCTTCTGTGCACAGAGGATGGCTCCCCAGAAAGACTGGGCCCCACCGAGGTGAGAGAGACTGTACTGCCCTGGGCAGGGGCCCCATTCCAGCAAAACCAACCGACTCCGGCCATGGCATGTCTCCTCTCCCTGCCCCCGCACCTTCCCTATCCCCTCACCAGCTCGTGCTGCTCCTGCATCTGGGTGATTTTCTTGCCATACTTCTGGTCCACTTGTTTCAGCTCAGCTACCACAGCCTCACACTTCTCACTCAGCACCTTCTTGTCATCAATGAGCTGGGCAGGGTGAAGAAAAGGCATCAGGCAGCCAGGCAGGATAGAGCCACCTCAGCTTCTGGCTTCAGAAGCATCAGTCTGAATTGGGATGAGAGATTACCTGGTCGATGAAGGCCAGGTGCCTCTGGATAGCTGCCTCATACTGTTCCCTCTGCAGCCTGAGCTGGTGGCCGAGCTCCTTCTCAGTCTGTTTGACATGCCGGACAGTCAGTTCCCTCTGCTGAGCCTTTTGGGTGTAAAAAACATTAGAGGGAGAAGTTACACCAGCCTCAGCAGGCGTACAGCAGGTAAGTACCAAAGGCACTGTCAGGCCAGAACAAGGAGGAACAGAGCTAAATCAAAGTCCCTGGTACTCACACCTCCTGCCCCGCTGTCAGCAAGAACACCCAAACCCCCGTGGAACAGAGGAAAAGAGAGTTCAGCCAGGTCCTGACCAAGGGGAGGGGAGTTTGAGGATGCCTTTCAAATCAGGGGCAGCAAGAAGAAATCTGAGCGAAGCCCACACCAGACTGGGAAGGACCTCGCAGGTCTTTCCCACGCTAACAGCGACTGGGACTGCAGCATGCCCGGCAGCCTCTGGCCCTCTGGCTCCTCGGCACTAGCTCCAAGAGCAGTGCAGTACTTTGCTGGGGACACAGATGGGAAACCCTATTCGCAGAGCCCTGGTCTTGTGCTTCAAAGCCACTGCCCCAAAAAACATCTGCTGAGGGCTCTTAGTCTTCATTCCCCAGCATGACAAGCACATCTGGCTCACACACCAGGGCTGTCTGCAGCAGGCTGATGGCTCGCTTCTTCTCCTCCACTTCCAGCTTCAGCCTCATGATGGAGCTCGTGACCTCCGTGGCAACAGCCGACGCCTGCTCCAAGTGAGCCAGCTCCTCTTCCGAGAGGAGACCCTGCCACAGCAAAAAAAAACCATTAAAAGGTCCTGGAACCAGGACAAGGAGACGGGAGACCCTTCCCACCAGGGTCTCGCACCACCTCTCCAATACAGATGGGCTCTCGCTTCAGCACTCACCTCCCGCTGTGTGGCTGAAGCGGCCGACCTGGGCCTCTCCTGTTCCGACTTCTCCATCTCATCCAGGAAACTGATGATGCTTTGGAGCTTGGCCTCCGAGAGCAGGGCCCCATCCTCAGGGACCCCCGGGGAGTGGTTCAGCTTCCCAAACTTCTCCAAGTTATCAGCAGTCAGGGAATTGGAGCTGGGCTCCTGCTGGGCAGACACAGCTGTGAATGAGCACGCAGGGGAGGGCTCAGGAGAAGAGGTGCTGGCTCTTCTCCATCACTGGAGCCCAGTCCTCCCACTGCACCCCAGTAACCAGCCTTATCCTCTGTGCTAACCCCACTCCCACCACAGCCCTCGCACGGTTTTGCTCGTCCTTGCGGATGCCCAAGCCCTGGCTGCATCAAACTCCTCCACCGCCTTCTCACTCCCTCCACCGCCTTCTCACTCCCTCCACCGCCTTCTCACTTCACCCTCCACCACCCAGCCAGCGCTGGGAGAAGGCAGCCCAAAGGGGAACCTGCCCTCACCAGGCAGCCATCGCTGTCTGAGGGTGGACGCAACCGGCCTCAGCCCTCTGCCTACCCCGTCTATCCAGGCATATCTGTCCTTCTTGAAGAGCTTTGGCGGGGGTAGCAGCTCTGGCTCTTCCTCCAACAGCCTGAGCGTGTCCAGCAGCTCATTGAGAGTGACCTTGGACGGAGCCCTGCTGACAGCAGTCACCACTGTCTCCAGATCCTCGCCACCCGTCTCTCTGGAGCTCACATCCTAGGGGAGAAGACAACACACCTTGCAGCAAAAGAGTTTGCTGGATCTCCACAGAAGTCAACAAAGGCTCCAAAGCCACCCCGGCAGAACAGTTGGTGCCAGGAGCCCCACGAGGCAAAGCCAGACCCACCTGCAGCTTGTCCTCTGCCCCAGGGTCCCGCAAGGGCACGGAGCCAAGGTCTGCGAGGCCGCTTTCTTCTGGCTCTGCAGCTACTGAGCGGAAATTGGCCTCTGCAGGAACCAGACTGTTCTCAGGCACTTGCAACAGCCAGCCCCTTGGAAGCAGCTCCCCAGAGTGAGAACCACTCCTCCATCGTCCCCCTTCCCCCTCAGGTCACACACTGCTCCAAAAGCATCGGAGACCCGCAGAAGGGACTCACCAGCATTATTGGCTTTGGTGACGCTGCTGGCTGGACTGATGTTCCTTGCAGAAGCAGGTTTGGCAGGCTTCTTCTTTGCTACCCTTCTGCTCTCCTTCACCAGCGCAAGTTCTTCTTCTGCCAAGCGCTTTGTGTCCGAAGCCTTTTGCGCCCTTTTCTGGTGCAGTTCCTGTAGGGACAGAGAAGCCATCAGCATCCTGCCCAGCACAGGGTGTTGTTCTGACACATCCCTGCACTGCTTCAAGTGCTAGCAAGGGCCTGGGAGACAGCAACAACCCACACGTTTGCTGCTGAAGGGTTAACAAGGACAACTCTAGAGAAGGAGAGAGCACAGGAACAACAGGTCTCCTCTTCACTGCTCTGAGCAGAGGGGAGGTGGTAGCCAGAGTCTTGCCAGCTCCACATGTGAACGCAGGCTGTTCACATGCCCCTGCACAGTGTCCTTTGCTGCTCCGTAAAGGGCCTCCAAATCCCGAGGGCCGAGCACCGCACAGTGCAGCGACGCCGCAGTGCCCAGGGGGCTGCCTCAGCCGAGTTTTGGGAAGTCACAAGCACGTGTTTGCAAGGCTGTTGCAGCATTTTGTTGTCCTCCGGCTGCTCACTGCTGCATCTCTCTCAACATCCGCCCCCACCAAAATATGATTCCATTTAGGGCAAAGAGAAATTGGGGATTTAAAAAAAAAATCTACAGCTATACTGCAAGCCCATATACAAGTCCCCACAGTCTGTGCCAACCCCTCATCTTGTCTGTGCCCCAGGAGCACCAGCCCTTTCCTGCCGCAAAGGGGGCTGCAAGAACAGAGTGAGACGAGCGGTGCTCAGCCCACCCTGGAGGGACCCTGTTCCTGAGGGGGGTCCCCTTCCCAGGGCTCTCTTGTCCTTGGCCACTCCGAGGAGCTGCAGTTACAGTCTCCCTGTGTCAACGTGGTCACCCTTTCCCCGAGAACTAGATCGAAACCAGCACTGTCTTCGCAAGCTCCAAATGAGCTGCCAAGGCTTGGCAGGAGCGCAACGGGAAACCGCTCTATGGCACCTCCATCTCCATAGGGAGCACTCCATTTCCAGGCTTGGCTCTAATTCCACTTCATGCAAAGCCCTGAGAGATGCAGAGGAGAGGCCCTCTCGCACAAGAAGATGCCAACAAACTGCTCTCATGCAGGCCTTGCCTTGTCCTTACCTGGATGGCAGCACGTCGGGCCAGGCGCGCCTTCTCCTCTCGGATCTTCCGGCGTTCCTCATCCTTCCTCTCCTGCAAATCCAGAATATTCCCTTCCTCCATCCGCTGCTGCCTTTCCTTCCAGAGAGGAGGGTCAAAAACGTTATTGAGAGCTCTGCAGCACCCACCACCCACAGCAGAGAAGAGGGAGAGGGCACACTGCACCTGAGGTCACCCCACATCCAGGCTTTCCATCCCCCCAGCCCTCCCCTCCGTGCAGGTACAGAGCCCTCAGAAAGGCTCCACTTTAGAGCAGCTTATTTTCTTTAGATACTAAATGTAATTATTAGTCATCTGGGTCTGAAACCACCGAGGAGACAAGGCTTAAAAATAGACTCTCACATGCAAGAGCTATGGTACTCTTCGTTATTGGGATAAATAATTAAACACAAAGAAACACAAATAGCTGCAGATGACTCGTCACTCTCTAATGAGCCAACTCGTTACTGATTCGCTACGATGAGCCGAGACAGGGTATCCCTCCTCTGGCCACAAATGAAAAAAAAGATCTGAGCGGGTTTGGAGCTGCCCCTGCCAAGCGTCTGCGTGCTCGCAGCTGAAGGGAGCTGGTAGATCAGAGCTGTGCGGCGCTGAGCCAAGGGGCTCCCGGCCTGAACTCCCCCCCGGACCCAAACCCGCGCTTCCCCCCACATCTCTGCGGGGACGGGACCCTCCTCAGCTCTCTGGACTGCAAGGGGCTGGCTAGATGGAAAGCCAAAGCCCCCTCGTCTCCGACAGCTCAGGTCTGGGTTGGGGAGTCTGGTGACTAAAGGGACTCAGATTCCCCCGCC